AGGCATTTACCTTTCTTTGATGATTTATATAATTTAACTGCTTTCTTTCTTATTATTATCGTTATTGTTATTATTATTATTATATATATATATATATTATATATATAATATATATATATATATATACATAATATGTATATAGATGTGTGTGTATAAAACAATAAATGCTGTGAAACAAATCGCCCAAACCAAGATTCCAACCCAGGATTTTGGGCTGTCTATGTAGATGCCTTAGCCAACTGGGTCACGTTGGCAATTCGAATCAATCCTTAATACGCCCTCTTAAACTGTACAATACTTTACATTAAAAATGTAGTGTAGACAGCATGTAACTTGCCTCAGGAACAAAAATGTTACTTACACATCCCCATTACCAACTTCAAAATCTTCAAATTTAGGTGGTGTTGAATCGATGTGCACTGATACAAAATCTGTCTTTGTGTTTCTTACTACATCAGTCGCCCGAACCCAAAATCCGAAAGTATCGGCGTCATGTACATTATCTAATTGATGAACGAATATTTCGTCCTAAAAGAAATCCAAAACATTGAGCTCTGTGCGTTGTACATTCAATAATGATAATGATGATGATGATGATAATAATAATAATAATAATAATATATAATAAAATAATAATAATAATAATAAAAGTAATAATTGTAGTGGTAGGAAAGTATAATTATACATACTCCAAGTATTTAAATGCACGCCATTGTGTTCCAATACTTGTTTCAATGGTAGTGGTCGTGATGATGACGATGATAATAATGATGATGATAAGATAATAGTATAATAATAATAATAATATTAATAATAATTAAAATAATAATAATAACAACTAGACTTATTATATCTGTGTAAAACAGAACAAAGGCTTTTCATCAGTTATATAATGGAAAGTGATATGTTGAAATTACAAACAAAAGAAATATATAAAAAAAAATCATTTAAAAAGTCTATTGTCAACAATTAAAAAAAAATCAAATCTTATTAAAGAAAAAGTAACAAAAATCACCTGAAAATCAATTCGACTTTATGGCGACTGAAACTATGGCTGCAGTGGTATGAACCAGACCCTGCGCAGGTCAGTAAAATTTAAGTTTATCTACCTTGAGAAATGTTACAAGTCGAGGTCGAAAAGTTTGAATTACCCGCTTATTAATATTAAAAATATTGACGTCATATTTTAATATGCACATCTTTGATATAATAGTATTTGCTTGGACAAAGTTTAAAAAAGATCCAAGCATGGAAAGTGACTAAAGTTTCGGACAGAAGAAAAACGGAATAGAAGAACGAAAAAGGGCTTTTTCTGCTAACGCAGGAAAAACGAAAATTAACAGGAAGGTCCTAGAAGTTAGAGGAGACTTGTTGTCGCCCATTTTAGAAATAATTCAATTCTATTGGAAATTTATCCAATGTGCGAGAACAAATAATGATTAAATTCAGGAAAACACCAAAGGTTTTACAATTTTCCAAAAAAATAACATCGGCTTCTGCTTTAATTGCTTTATTCGTAAGCTTCTCCAGGGGCTGGATTTATCAAACTAGAAATCAGCTTAAATTCGTCTTAAGACCATTTTTTGCTTAAGTCAGATTTATTAATATTGCTTTTGCTTAAAAATTGCTTAAAATGAAAATGTCGACTGTACACATGCGCCATCTAAGACGATTTTTGAGCTAAGATTTCGCTAAGGTGGTTTGATAAATCAGCTTAAGATATTTGCTTAGGGACATCTAACTGTTTTGGCTTAAGATATTTGCTAAATAAATTATTATCTAACTGATTAAAAGCCCTATGTTCTGTTTTACAAACAGATACAATACGGTAAGTCTAGCTATTATTATTATTATTATTATTATTATTATTATTATTATTATTATTATTATTATAAATAGTAGTAGTTGTATTAGCAGCAGTCGTGGCAGTGCCAACGAGGAATGGGACACCCTCCCGACAGAGCATCCTCCCCCCCCCCCCCCCCACTTCCATCAG